ACAGTGTCCAGCCAGGCGTCCACGCCCAGGGCGAGCCCCCCCTGGCTCCAGACTCCGCAGCCCACCGTGTGGAGCACGGCCAAGCTGCCCCCCGGGCTGCTCAAGCCCGCCGCGCCCCCGCAGCCGCCCCCGCAGCCGGCAGCCGGCTCCTCCTCCACTACCCTCGCGCCCGCCACAGACCTGGAGGCGGCCGCGGGGCCGGGGGCGGCGGCGGCAGCGCCGGAGGGGGCGGGGGCGACCGGCACCTCGACGGCCACCTCACAGACCACCGGCCGGCCTGGGGCTGCCCCCGTGCCCGCGCCGCAGCCGCAGCCCCCATCGCAGCAGGAGCGGGAGCGAGAGAGGGAGCGGGAACGAGAGCGGGAGCTGGAGAGGGAGCGGGAGCAAGAGACTGCGCTGGAACCCGCCCCCGCACCGCCCCCAGCGCCGAGCCCCGCCTCCGCCCCTGGCTCTGGACGGGAGCCTGGTTTTGGTTCCGTCGAGCAACCCCAGCCTCCTGCTGTGGACCAGCAGCCTCCCACATCAAGCACTCCAGGTAAAATTTAGCCGTCACGTAACTGTTGCCCACCTCTATTCCCCATCTGTACTGTTTATTTATGATAATATAAATTTGTGCATTTTACAGCATCTTCAACATCAATCATTGATAACTCTCTGTCGTCAAGTAATCCATGGTTCCAAGGGGAGTTGTCTTTGTGCAGTCCAGTTACAGCTCGTGGGCTTTACTGGAACTTTACACGTGCTGGGGAGGTAAGCGAAAATCCTACTGAGCCCTTGTACTAGGGACGATTCCCATCCAAATCTAGGGAATTGTGTCATTTTTATTTTCCTTTTCCAGGTTGCTGTTCAAGCTTGCCCAGGAGGTGCCACAGGTGTTGCAAAGTGGCGCTGCAGTCAATCATCTATGTGGGAACCAGAAACACCCGACCTGAGTGAATGTCGCTCAGTGTGGTTGACAAGCTTAGAATCAAGAGTGAATGAAGGCGACTCGTTAATTAGCATTGCTAATGATTTATCTCAGGTAATTTTATTTTCCCATATTCACGAGGGGGATTCGTTATCCAAAATAGTTGACAAGTAATAATTGTTCCTTTTTTTGTGGTTTCCTTTTGACTGATCAGGTTACAAGCAGTAAGACATTGTATGGTGGTGACATGATGACAACCACCAAAATTATGAAGGCTATGGCTGAAAAGATGGCAAAAGACAGTCAAACATTTCCAGATCTTCAGCAGAGAGAAGCTATTGTCACAGAGTTGTTGCATGGAGCTGTCAGAACAGGTTCCAATCTCTTGGATTCGGCACACATTCCCAGCTGGCATGATCTTAGCTACAGAGAACAAATGCTAGCAGCTACATCTTTATTGATTGGTTTGGAAGAGAATGCCTTTCTTGTAGCTGATGCTGTGATGGCTGAGAAAACAGTTATCCAGTCATTCAAGAACATTTGTAAGTTGTCAGCAAATTATAATGTTCTTATTTTTATTCAGTGATAACCATTTTCTGACCAATTTACTTTTTGTTCTAGTGCTCAGTGTTCGAATCCTGGAAAATCGTAGTATTGGCTTAACTGAACAGTTCCCCACTAATGCTGCTCTTCAAAACTGGGATGGCCGTCTTGTGTCGGATGGAGATTGGCTTGAACTTCCAAGGGGTGCGCTTTTGGACAACTCTGACAAGGGACTGGTTCGCCTTGTGTTTGTTGCCTTTGACCGCCTTGAGGAAATCTTACAGCCTAAAGGAGATCCTGTAAGTATTAGAATATTTTGATGAGTTCTGTAAAGAAAATTACCTTTGTTCTTGATGGGTACTAATTTTCTCCCCTTTCTCCATTCTTTCTACCTCAGGTGGAAAACAGTGTAGGTGTTGTCAGTAATGTGACGAGAGTCCTCAACAGCAAAATCATCTCAGCGTCTCTCGGGAAAGGGCGTCACATTCAGCTCTCCGAACCAGTTCGACTTACTCTTAAGCACATACGTACTGAGAATGTCAGCAATCCTTCATGTGTCTTTTGGGATTACACAATGAGGTAACTGCCTGAACTATTTAGATTGCATTTTAAATTGGTTTCAGGTCCCTTAAATTTCTTGAATAAATTTGACTCTTTGATGTCCCTTATTTGCAGCTCGTGGTCTGAAGAGGGATGTAGAGTACGAAGCAATAATCAAACACACACTGTTTGTGAGTGTGAACATCTGACGAACTTTGCTGTTCTGATGGATGTGCACTCAACATTGCTTCCGCAAGTTCACCAGGCTGCACTGCAAGTCATCACATATGTGGGCTGTGTCATATCAGTTGTATGCCTGGTACTTGCCATCCTCACCTTCCAGCTGTTCCGAGGACTCAAGGTAAAGAGGAACAGTGCTGGAAATCGTTTGCCTCGTAGACATCTTTGTAGAAGTTCATGTAGTGCCACCTCACGTAGTTCATCTCATAGTCAGATGTTGAGTCAGCTTTGCTCTAGAAGGGAGCAGTCATCTTGCCAATGTGGAGCACAGGATGAATCATGTAGTCAGATGCAAGATCTCTGCTCTGAGTCGTGCACCCCTCCTCGCAATCAGGTTCATAATCATATTAATCAGCTTTGTGGGGAATCATTTAATCAACCTCATAGTTTGATAACCACACAACCTAGGAGCCAGGTTCATTCTCACCCATGCAATGAAAGACATTTGTGTGTTGAATCATGTGGTGAAAATTGTAACCATCAAGCTGCTGCCGGGATGGCACCCTGCACTCAATCACATAGCCATGCCTATGAAGACGCCCATGGACTCAGGCCTCAGCAGGTTCATTGTGATACTTACGGCAGAACTTGTATAAGTTCTCGAAACAATACCCTAACTCGATCAAGTAGATCATGTTCTCGGGGCCATGCTTGTGATACATTACGATCACAAGCTCACGCCTGTGATGGGCCCAACAGTTTACCTGCCCATCTTCCACAGCCCCATTCATGCAATGGGAACTATACTCTGCGGCACACGAGACCACCCTCTCAGAATCGCTTTTGTGAAACTAGGTGTGATTCAGTTTCTGATCAAACTTGCCAAATTTACAATGAATTAAGCAACCATTCACGGAGTCACACACCAACCTGCGCTCAAGCGCTTCATAGTTTATCACTTAACCATTCAAATTTAGAACCTAACTATTGGTCACGGAGACCAGTTGGTAGGCAGCGGAATGCAAGGCATGATGTTGCTTATAACATGGAAATTCCGAGGGTATATTCAAGGGCTCTCAGTGATGATAGCCCAGAATATGAATATATTAGTTAGGATTTGTGATTTCACTGGTGTACCTGTGCTCCTGAGAAAGTCAAGACTGGCCTTGTTATTTTACTGAAGTGATTTTTATTTAGTTATATATTAGAGTTTTTAGTTAATGATATGTCCTGGATATCTCCCAAACTGAATACGTATATACCACTTCAGTATTATACAAGATCATATTTTCCCCTCTTTTCAACGAGCTTCTTGTTTTTACCTATTAGATTTTAATTTATTGACTGCAATTTGTTCCCTTGTAATTTATTTTATTGTCCTTTTGTACATTAGTCGTTTGTAAATGAATTCAATGACGCTTATGTTTTGTTTTTTTTGATCTTGTGACAGTATCTGTAATTTTTATATTTATTAATTAATTTTCTTATGCATTGATGTATATAGCTGTGATTTATTGAAGTGTGTTGTTATGGCTTCTTTTCATACTGCTATCACTCACTTGCAGCTGCTTTTCAAATCGTGCCCTATTTTGTAGATGGCTTGTTGCAGCATGAAATTTTAACGCTTATGTTGTACATATTGTAAAATTTTTGTTTATTTTTGTTTTTAGTTAAATAAAGAGTTGTAGTTGAAATTTTATCAGCTACATATACAGGTAAAGTTTGGTTTTGATTTGTTTGCGTACCCTTTTCATTTATATACTGTTCATACCAAGTCTTGGAAGATTTTGTCGTATGATACGGTACATTCTGTTCAGATCATTTTATCATGTTACATGAAATTTCCTTGTTCATTACATTTGGATTGGGATTATTATCATAATCTTTACAAGCACTTTTTACATGCACTTTTCCAAAATAATTTAAAATCATGTAGCCCCATCTAATCAATAATCAAATTTTAAACACTGTTTCACTATGCATGTTTTGCTGTTTGTGGTGCAAGTTCTTCATCTGTCATTGCTATGCTTCAGTTCATTATTACCTAGAATCATATTTTGATATTACCTTATAGAGTTTTATTTTATTTCAAGAGTTCTGCTCATTTTGCACCTACTTTCACCTATGGCTTTGGATGTTGGTCATATTCACAATTGCTTTTAACCATTGTCTTCTTCTTTGTCTGGTGATAAATCCATTTGCTACCTATTATCATAAAAAACTCATGTCAGTGAAAACGTTAAAGAGATTGAATAGAGAAGTGTTCAACACCATTCTATATTGAAGCTTTGCTTTTGCTAACACCCTTGATAAAATCATATAGTTGTCATTAAATCACACTTTATCCATTAAAGAAATTAGATCATGCCTATAAAGTACGTTGGAAAATAGTTTTCTAAAAACATCAGTGGTGTAAATCTACTGCCAATTGAACGATTACCATTTCTTTAGGGTTGTGAGATTAACTGTTTGACAAGTATTAAAAAGCACATTGTATCATGTGTGCAGTCGGATCGCACAACCATCCACAAGAACCTCTGCATTTGCCTGCTTCTTGGAGAACTACTGTTCTTGGCCGGCATTGGGCGAACTGATACACCTATCCTCTGCGGAGTTGTAGCTGGGCTGCTGCACTTCTTCTTCCTTTGTGCATTCGCCTGGATGTTTCTGGAAGGTAGGTGACTTCAATATGTTTGTTTCTATTAACTTTCTCCATTTCAAATGCTAATCATTTTATTTCAATTTGGCAGGCTTCCAACTATATGTGATGTTGATTGAAGTATTTGAAGCTGAAAAATCTCGAGTTAGGTGGTACTATCTCTTTGCGTATGGAGCTCCCTTGGTGGTTGTTGCTGTATCTTGTGTTGTGGATCCATTTTCCTATGGCACAGAGCAGTACTGCTGGCTTCGAGCAGATAACTTTTTCATCTTTAGCTTTGTTGGACCAGTCATAGCTGTTATACTTGTAAGTCATTCATGCTCTATTTTTTCCCTTTGGTTTTTTAATATATGATTTACAAGAGATCACATTATTCTCCCTCCAGGCCAATTTAGTGTTTTTGGCAATGGCGATATTTATGATGTGTCGCCATGCAAGCTCGGCTGTGGCAATGAAGAGCAAGGAACATTCCCGTCTTGCGAGTGCAAAGTAAGTATAGTACCTTATTCAATTATATGAAAGGTTCCAAATTTGCAGAAACAATTTAGAACCCCAGAATGAAAATATTTTTTGGCTAACTCGTAAAGTCATATCATCCTCTCCAAGAGGAAACTAACACATCAAATAGTAATAACATACCAGAAATAAAATGCTAGGTAATGTCATAGGGAAATAAAATTGTGAAACCCTTATGGCCCAATTATTGCTGTGGTGTTTCCTTCTTGGTTTTGAAAACAAAGTGATAATTTGCTGAGCATTCTGACCTCTCTTTGCATGATGATTGCCAGATATATTAAATGCATTTTGTGCAAACATTTTGAGTTTGTTATTTTGTAATGTGATTTGCTCCCTTATCTGACTATCCTTTCTCCCTCTTCGGACAAATTTCTTGTCTCCTCTTCGGGCTGGTAAAGAGTAATTTTGTTCTGATGAATAAAAATTCCAAATTTTGATTGACAGCTCTTGGCAATGAAAGACTGATGTAAGGAGGCAAGAATTTCCCTCTCTGTCCTCTCACATTAATCATGAAAATATCCTCTCTGTGCTTTTGTCTTAACTCTCCTCTTTTCTTTCTTCTTCTGACTACCTCCTACCCTCCTCTTCCTCTTACCGGTGTATTGTGTGTGCTGGTATTTAGATTTGAGTTGGTCTGTATGAAATTGCACTGCTGTCTCTTATCTCCCACCACATTATTTCTATTGTGACTTATTATTTAATCATGGTTTGCACTAGTGTTCTGCTGAATATAAGAAAGTGTTGAATATGTATTTCTTTCAAGGAATTATTTCTGGACCACCACTTAAATTCTAATTGTTTGGGAAGTTCCAGAATACTTAGTTAAAATTGAAATCACATATTGAGCTTCCTAGATGAGTGTAAGCGGTTTTGTTTTCCAGAAATGAGTGCATTGTATTGTGTTGAGGATTGTTTTTCTCTCTGAAGCTATTCAGTGTGATATGAAACGGATTTTGTCATGTCACATTCTGACCTGCTTCACTGACCATCTCCGGTGGTGGCCCATACTGACTGCTAATTTTTTCCTGTGTGTTCTCTTGCATGGCGTAGTGGGAAAGAAGAGAATGCCCTTCAAACCAAATTACAATCACACCTGTAAGATCACTTTTTTATTAATCAAAATCTAATTGTGCTTTGTGTCTCAGTCTTTGATATGCACGCAATGTGTGTTGCCATTTTCCCTCCTAAAGAAGAGCTTGCATGTATGTGAAACAGTTTTTCTCACATTTGCAAGTATCAGCAGCAGCTTTGTATTTGTTGACTTTGGTTTTAATAAATAACATACATTCATACTTTAAAAAATTCTTACAAAAATTGTGTTTAGAGGGCACAAATTGTCATATTTCAATATTCAACCTTCAACATAGGGTCCCTTCATGAATTTGTAATATAAGGACCATTTTGGGCATAAATTACAGTATGTGCAAATGTTTTCTATAGCTTCTTGCATGTAGTTAATCATTGTGTGCTATTAATTTATTGTTTCTGTTGACAGTTTTGGTTTTAGTTTGATGGAATAATATGATTAGAATAAAATATGACTTTTGACTGCTGCTGTAATAATACACCAAGTGTCCCATATACGCCATTTTCTTCTTTGGTAGAGCAATCCAATCTACTTTAAGCTGTGGCTAGTGTTTATGTTGATCAGCAGCATGTTTTAGCTTACCTCTTTACCTGTTGTGCTACATTTTATTATCTTATTTATTTTTTTATTTTGTCTCAGCCTGCTCACTTTGTCTACAAAGGTTACCGTGAATGATCTTTAAATAGCTTTTAATAAGTACTGTTTCCGAAGCAAAATGGGAATGTTTTCAAGGACCAATTGAGGGCTTTTGGGCTATTCCTGTTGTATGTGTTTGTCAGCTGAATAAAGCTGGCTTTAATCTGCGTGTGTTAAAGCTGAATTATCTGAGAACATTTTTAGTAAACCATTCAGCTCTGATTTTTCTGTACATCAAAGCTTATTCTTCATTTTGCCACATCTTTGCCCCCTTGTTATGTTTCACTGTTTGTGCCTGTTGCTATTCCTGTTTCTCTATTTTTGTTTTGTTTATTAATGTCACGTGTGCATTGCATGTGTTAATTTGATATTTCCTGAGAAGGCTAAAACCTATCTACAACAACATTATTTTTCCCACCCAATAACTAGTTAACTTATGTACAGTTTTAAATAGACGTTTATAATATCAAAACATAATATGGGAAATGACATTAATAATGCAGAATGCATTTTTTTATTCTAGTACAGTAGTTTTTGTTTTAAATAACTAAGAAACAATTTTCCTTTCCTATGCACACAGAGAAAGTTAACTGTTTGTAGAAAAGAAAATTCATATTAAGAGTCTATCTTCATTTTAAGCATTGTTGTCCTTTTTGCTTACAGGGCTTGGTTGAGAGGAGCCATCGTTTTGGTATTCCTTTTGGGTCTTACATGGACCTTTGGTCTTCTCTACCTCAATGAGCAGACAGTCGTAATGGCCTACATCTTCACTATCTTGAATAGTCTTCAAGGACTCTTTATCTTTGTATTTCATTGTGTTCAAAATGAAAAGGTAAGAAGAATTCTTGGTTTAGAAAAAGAAAAGTCTGTCTATCTCTAAGTCCCTTACTTTCATTCTCTTTTCCTTTCCTGTTTGTACATTGATTTCTTCTATTTTTCATCAAGAACTGTACTTCTTTGATGTCTTGTATATAGTTTACTGTGATACTTATCTGATAGGGTTTTGTACTGATCATGGAATGATAAATGTATTGTAGATTTTATAATTTAAAGAGATCGTATAATAAACATTCTATGAAACCTGTAATGGTTCTCTGTAGTGCTTCTTAAATCATCCAATTCTTTTCACTCACCCTTGCAGTCATATTCCTTATGTTTTGCCCTCTACCTTTTTTCTTTTTGCCTCATTTTCTTTCACACCCTGTCTTTTTTTATTTTATTCTTTGTTTTATTTTATTTTTGTTTCTTTCTTTAGGTTCGCAAAGAGTATAGAAAATTTGTAAGAAGACACTCTTGGTTACCAAAATGCCTTCGATGTTCAAAATCATCTCCCAACGGCAGTAAAGAGAGGAGATCCAGTCTATACACAGCGTCAAATGGGAATCCCTCTGCACCCAATACCCACAGCTCTGCCGTGGGTGGAGGATCTGATAACGCTGCGAATGTGGGTACCATTCCTCCTCCTCCACACTGCCAACACTACCAAGCAGGTATTGCGGCACAGCACAGTCGCATTTCCTGAGGACCATTTGGCTTGGCATACATTGAGAATGTCTGTTTCTCATAATTATCCATTAAGTAGATCTTTTTTTTGTTTATATCTTTTTCAATTTAATTTACATTCAGTTGAAGCATTGAGTTATCCTTCTTGCAGGAGATTATCCTGACTCATTTGGTGAACTATTGTTATCTTCTTCTTTCCTGTCTACTTAATTATCTAAAACAAATTTTAGGTTAACTGTTATACAGCCAGTAGTTCTCGGTCCTCAGGAAATTAATTTTAAAAAAGAGAGAAAAAGTTGGCACAAGATGCTGCTTAACTAACAAGCCTAGAGGCTGGGCTGGGTGCTGCAGTATGGTGTGAGGGAGTTGTTGTGGTGTGGTGTACTACCTTTCCTTCTATCTAGAAAATTTGTCAATCAAAAAATATTTTGAGGTGATATGCATTTTGAACCTCATTCAAAACCAAGAGTTATTTGATATCTTATCATTTCAACATATTTACAAATTTCCTCTGCAAGTATTGGCTTTACTTTTACTCCCTGGTTTGAAAATAGCTGAAGTACATAGTAACCCTGCTATGCCAACAAAGAGTATTATTTATGTAGAATTTAGATCTTAGGCTTATCTTTTAGTATTAATTCATATGCGTACATAAATCACTTGACTAACACATTGCTGTAGCGTTGTCATACATCTTCAACATGTGAACATGCCTAGTAGTTCAATTCTGGCAATGCCTGAATTAAATGAGGGCAATGAAAGTCATTGATTTAACAAGCTTTTTTTCTTTTTATTTGATGAAAATTTACACAAGTCTTTCAGTATTTGGTTTGGCTGACTACCTTAAATGTTGGCATGTTTTGGCTCACTGTTAAAATTTGAAGTTTGGGATATTCCAGGGGGGAAATGTTTTGACACTCTGCATCTGTGTCATTAAACTTACTGCCCCCATAGTTCAGATTATACTGTTCTTACCATGGAATCGTTTCTATGTCATTAGTGGTACTGCTATTGGGTTCCAATTTCCAACTTTATGAGGACATCCCTGTTTTGTTGTTGTTGTTGCAGTCCTTCCTACAGCAGGGCTGGAACTCACGCAGCCTGCGTTCTTCAGGCAAGGGCCTGGGCAGCACTTCGTCCAACACAGTGGTGGTGGGCCAGGTGACCCACATGCCCGTCATGGCCCAAAGCCCCGTCCACGGGACCACCATCGAGAATGGGGGCCCCGTCCTGGTCAATGACATGGACCCCAATGGCTCTGTGCGCACAGCTACCTCCCCCCTAGAAAATCGTGTCTCTACATTACCTTATTCCAGATCCAATTCTCGTGGCCAACTTCCTAAATCAGCGTCATCATGGGGCTCTCTACACAAAGTTAGTCTTACCTTAAATATATATATGTTAGAGAACTTGTCCAAAATTTTTATGGACACCATGGGGAAACTGCAAAAAATCCTATTGCTTACTAGATTTTTATAGCAGCAATCGTGGTGACCTCAAGGTGTCCATATTAATTTCGGACTAGCAATGACAGTGCATCATTATCTTGCCCACCATTGACACTTAGTCGCTAGTCGACACCTTCCAATGTTGCTTGTTCTTTCCTTTTAACAGAACATGTCACCGAAAAACTACAGCCGCGAGCAGATTAGAAACCAGCACCTGGACCATGTTCTCAACAACTCGCACTACCCCACCAACCACTACAACCACCACAACGGGGCTCAGGCCCACCACCTGGCGCACGACATGGATGACGGCGGCCGGGCGCTGCGCAGTGGCACGGGCGGCCGCCGGGCCCACAGCCCCTGGAACCACACCTACACGGAGATCAGGGAGCGCGAGCGGGAGCGCGAGAGAGAGCGCGAGCGGGAGCGGGAGCGCGGGCTGCGGAGCATGGACGACCCCGTGTACGAGGAGATAGAGCGCGGCGGGGAGGTCCACGCCTCGGACTTCTCGGACGACGACGGCCGGCGCCAGTCTGATATGAGCCGCCAGTCGTCGAGGAGCTACGGCGACCACCGGCCGCTCATTCCCTACAGCCCGGGCACCACGGCGCCCCTGCGCTATGTGCCCAACATGTCCAACCAGTGCGACATCGCGCGGACCGTCGCTGTCCTGGACGGCGACACAGTGGTCTGCCACCTCGAGCCCGACCACCACCTGTACCCGCAGCGGACAATGGTGCCCTATAGCGAGTGCTACTCTCTACAGTGACTGTGCTAAGAGTATTTGGTGCCCAGCCCCAGGCGTCTGTGGCTATAATTGCTATTTTTTTAATTTTCATACTTTCCTAGAGTAAGATGACCCGAGCTGTGTTCCCACAAGAGCCATTTAACTTGACTTTTAAAAAAATGGACCCTCGTAAATGAAGATTGCTTGTGATATTACATTTAGATTTGTAAAAAGGACTTCCTGAGTAATGGTAAAGAATTTATTGTGTATGTCTATAATGTTGTTTTGGGTAGATTTGATAATTAGGCCCCTTAAAAATCGTACCTTTTTGTGACTGCTCATCATGATTTCAAAAAATTAATTTCAGAGACAAAATTAATGATTTCAAGTTTTTGATATGATAGACTGAGCAAACAATAATCATGCCTTTATAAAAGGTTTTGCAAAACTGAAAAATTATTTTAAAGTGCAGTTGCATTGTTTTGCAGTACTTTAGTCTTGACTTTAGTACAATTTGTTGGGCCTTAGGGTACTTACCAAGAGCTAGGAGCAGTCATTTGCTTAGCTCTTACTGTTTTAAATGTGATAACTGTTGTGCTTGATTTAAGTGCTTCTTTGTATACAGTTCTAATGACTGTTTTGTCTATAGTTGTATAGTTGTATATTCATTTGTACCATAAGACTATTGCAACTGGTTTTGTCTCTTTGCAATTCCATTTGTGTCATCATTTGACTATGTTACCAAATATTTCCCTGGGGCTGTAAATCAATGGATGGTTTGATTGTGCCTATGCTTTAATTTTTCACTTGCTAACGAAACACTCCAAGGCAGTGTATGACTTGCAGGAAGAATGCACACTGCCATGATGACCTGTACTGAAAAATTGTTCTTTGAATTACAGCTCCAGATGTTTTGCTTTTGTATTGTTACAGACAGCAGAATATATGTAAATAAGACTTTGTACAGAGATGAACTGTCACATAGAAGGAGACGTTATTTATTTCCATATTTTCCAATTATGTAACTGATAGGAACAATATTTGATTGGGGCTTTAAATTATTGGGAGGGGAGGGTGGTCTTTCTTAAATTTAATACCGGAAGCTTTCTATCGTTTTTACAATTTATGTTAGTGTGTGTTTTTTGTATCTGTTTAGTTGCAAGTCACTCTCCCCAAACATCTGTTATGAATTTGTGTTGAAGATTCATGATTTGTGATTCTCTATAATTATTGTCTTATTACCCTCTCATAGAAAGATTTGAGCATTATCTCAAGTTAAAACTCCCTTTTTCTCTGATATTTTCTGTTGTCTCCTTTTGTCTATTGGGTGATAAGGTCCAGTTCCAAGTATGAAAATTTGGATTTGCCTGTAGTTTTACAATAGGTTTTGTACAAGCATTAATGCATTTCATAGCTATGAACTGTGCCGTGTCGTACTACATTCCCTGTCATGCATTTAAAAATCAACTTTATCATTAATGGGATTTATCTCTCCTTAGACTGTTCATGTCTTATCCATGTCTTAAGATTTTGTCAAAGTTGCCTTTGTGATACTTTCCTGCGTTTAAATTATGTTTGCCCTGATGTCTTAAAGGAATACATCACCATATCTGGATGTACCGTCACACGCTGGCCAGTGCTAATAAATGATGGTCAATGTGTGGAAATGTGCCATAACTTAAAGCTCTGACTTTGGAGTACCATGTATATAAATTATCTGTCATACTTCAGGGCTCAATAATTAGCAGGTAGGCAACTGATAAATTTTTCTGATCAAAGTGCTTGAAGTTTTCACTGTTACATAAGTCTGAAAGCTAAAATGAATTGGAATTGAAACCAAGGAAAGTAGATTGTGTGA